TCCTTTCTTTTTTTTCCTGGATCCAAAAGGTAGCCTGTTTGAAGGGCTGAAGGGCTGGTGATTCCAAACTGCAGCCATTGGGCTAGGATTCAACCGCCCATTCATGCCCTCCTGGCCATGAAAGCCACCACTGCACCCAAGCACAGTGGCAAAATCCCCAGAGTCGTCCCCCCCCCACGCCACCAAGCCCATACCTACGCTGCACTGCCGACTTTTGGAGGGGAGAGAGCGAGTTCTACTCTCCCTCGTCTCTTCTCCGTCCTCCCCAGTGGGGACCAGTCTGCACTTTCCCAGCCAGTTCAGACTGTCAATGTAACAAACGCTTGCACAGGAGCCTGAGCTATTTACTGGCATGTTGAAAGTAAAGTTGCAACTGTTGGGGAGTCCGAAAATTGATAGACCCTCCAGGTGGCCACTTGCCCCTCCACCCAATTGATACTGGGGCCAAATAGAATTGCAGGAGACCATTTAGTTGTTTCTTTGAGATGGAATCTCCTTTGAACCTTTCCCAGTTTCCCCAAAGGCTACCCAGAGGCGTTTGCATTTGTTTTGACTTACCCTGACGCATGAAGCGCATATCATTCCCCAGAAGACCTCTAGAAGGATTTCAGCAGACCTCTCTGATTTTCCTTCTGCCAATTCTGCCAAGGGTCCCTGGTCAAAAGTGCTCAAGGACATCTGGACTTGAACCAGGACTGGACTCTATCCAGACTTCACCCCACCTGTACCAGCAAGAGTTTCTAGAGGCCCTGTGTGGTTTCCAAAATCCCCTCCGTCCAAGGAGTTCCCCCCTTTTGCTCGATCCTGCCGCTTCCCATAGGGTCCAACCCTACCCAAGAGTCACCAGCGGTCAGGCAGGGAAAGGCAGTGTGCTGGGCTCTAACCGGAGCCCCCCCCCTTTCTTTAGGAACCGGGTCTTCCCCCAGGCAGTAGCCCTTTCCAACAACAGAGGCTTTCTCCTTACCTGGGGACTCCTTGCTCCATCCGGGGTAGTTCTCTTAGGCTTGCTGTTCCCTCGATCACCTTTCCTCAGGCCCTGCTCACGGCCCACCCAAATTCGCCTCAGCCCAAATGCTGAGGGAGAGCTCTCCGTTGCTGGTCCTCCACCCGTCCAAAAAGAGGCTCTTTGAGGGAGAAGGCTGAAGAATGTTGAGGCGAAATTTGCCGTTAGTCCAGTTGGTCGCCCCACGTTGAGTGCCAGAGACTGGTACTGAACTCAGCCAGCCAACAGCCAGGGCAAACCTGGGTGGACCCCAGACCCGAGTCGAAAGGAGCCCGAGACGAGACTTAGAGCCAAATGCAGCTTTATTCTAGTGCACTATAGACTAAAGGGAGACGAAGGGGGGCATTCGGCCCAAAGCAGTGTCTCGAAAGTTGCACCCCGGAACATGCGTTTTATACCCTGGGTAACCCACTAGGTCACCTAATACACTTCTCATGCATCAGTACATCAGTGTAGCCACACCCCCAGTGCTGCTAGCTGCAAAGAGTCCGCTCTTCTGTCAGGACCAGACAGTTCCCACGTCTGTTTCTTATCTGCCCCAGATTCACACCGGCTTCCCGTGTTCTTACTCCCTGCGCATTTGCAACTTTCATGGTGGCTGCAACCAGTTTCCACTGTCCCTTTGATTACTGTATTGGAGGTCAGGCTGGCGTGTTAGCTGCGGGTTGCACCAAGTTCATTTTGTCCGTATCCCCCCTCCCTTCTGGGACAGTATAACTGTGGGGTTTTTACTGTGTGGCCTCCCTCTGGCCAACTACTTTTGGGGTGTTTTGGGGTGCTGCAATTGGCAACAATCCCCTGGAGTCCACCCCATCCAGCCACCCCATCCTCTGCCGTCCCTTTCTTCTTTTGCCATCAATCATTCCCAGCATCAGGCTCTTCTCCAGGGAGTCCTTCCTTCTCATTAGGTGGCCAAAGTGTTTGAGTTTCACCTTCAGGATCTGGCCTTCTAAAGAGCAGTCAGGGTTGATCTCCTCTAGGACTGACCGGTTCGATCGCCTTGCGGTCCAAGGGACTCGCAGGAGTCTCCTCCAGCACCACAATCCAAAGGCCTCAATTCTTGGGTGCTCAGCCTCCCTTATAGACCATGGGTCTTCAAACTAAGGCCCGGGGGCCAGATCCGGCCTGCCATGCCCATTTATCGAGCCCGCAATGCTCATTTGGACCTGCTGTGCCTGCGCCCATGCACGCGCCTGCCGCCACCCGCCTCGCCCCATGCGCAGGGAGGGAGCGGCTTGCTCGCCTGGAGAAAACGATCTGCAAGTGAACAAGCTGCTGCCTCTCTCGTGCACGTGCCTCCCCTCCCCTCGCTGTGCACACCTGCCCGCCCGCACCTTGCCTTGCCTCGCCACCTGCCCCACCCCCATCTCAGTGCACACACGCACTGCCCCCGCCCCCTCACCAGCCCGCGTGCACCACCAGCACCACCCTTCCGGCTCCCGCCCAGCATCGGCACCTTTCCACTGGCCCTCTGCTGAAAAAGTTTGAGGACCCCTGTGATAGACCAACTCTCACAGCCATACATTGTTGTTATTCATTGCAAAGTCATGCTCGACCCATTGCGACCCCATGGACAACGTTCCTTTCTGCCCTCCACCATCCCCTGGAATCCAGCCAATGCAGCCACCCCATCCTGCCATCCCCTTCTTTTGCCCTCCATCGTCCCCAGCATCAGGCTCTTCTCCAGGGAGTCCTTCCTTCTCTTTAGGTGGCCAAAGCATTTGAGTTTCATCTTCAGGATCTGGCCTTCTAAAGAGCAGTCAGGGTTGATCTCCTCTAGGACTGACGGTTTGATCGCCTTGCGGCCCAAGGGACTTGCAGAGTCTCCTCCAGCACCACAATCCAAAGGCCTCAGTCCTTCGGCGCTCAGCCTTCCTTATGGTCCAGCTTTCACAGCCATGCATTGCAGCTGAGAAAACCACAGCCTTGACTATACGCACTTTTGTTGGCAGGGTGATGTCTCCGCTTTTTAGTATGATGTCTAGATTTGCCATAGCTTTCCTCCCAAGGAGCAAGCATCTTTTAAATTCTTGACTGCAGTCCCCATCTGCGGTGCTCCTGGAGCCCAGGAAAATAAAATCTGCCACTATCTCCTTTTCTTCCCCATCTATTTGCCAGGAAGTGAGAGGACCAGATGCCATGATCTTAGTTTTCTTAATGTTGAGTTTCAGGCCAACTTTTGTGCTTTCCTCCTTCACCCGCATGAAGAGGCTCTTCAGTTCCTCTTCACTTTCTGCCATGAGAGTGGTATCATCTGCATACCTGAGGTTGTTGATATTTCTCCCAGCAATCTTAATTCCAACAGGTGATTCATCAAACCTGCCTTTCTCATGATGTGCTCTGCATATAAGTTAAATAGGCAGGGTGGTAAAGACTATTGCAGAGAAAAAGTTTGGCTTCAGGTATATTCTCTGTGTTGAGATTTTTGGAGTAGCAGTGGGGGTTTCTGCTGCCATTTTTAAAAAAAGATCCCAAAGATGAGTGGGACCCTCTTCAGGTATTCAGAATGCTGCAGGCATCGATGCAAAAGAGGTTTGGGAGCCTGCTGGAAGCAAGAGGTTTATGCTTTCACCACACAGCTGATAAAGACCTTCCAGAAAAAGCTCTAGGACTGTCCCAGTCATCAGACACAACATGGAAAAGACACAACATAAAAGGGAAATATCATCTGCATATCTGAGGTTGTGGATATTTCTCTTAATTCCAACTGGTGATTCATCTAGCCCCGTCTTTCTCATGTTGTGCTCTGCATATAAGTTAAATAGGCAGGGCGACAGTGTACAGCCTTGCCGAACTCCTTCTCAATTTTGAACCAATCAGTGGTTCCGTGTCCAGTTCTCACTGTTGCTTCTTGACCCACATAGAGGTTTCTCAAGGGACAAATAAGATGGTCTGGTACTCCCATCTCTTTAAGAACTTGCCAGAGTTTGTTGTGATCCACACTATCAAAAGCTTTAGCATAGTCAATGAAGCAGAAGTAGATGCTTTTCCGGAACTCCCTGTCTTTCTCCATGATCCAGCGTATGTTGGCAATTTGACCCCAAGTTCCTCTGCCTCTTCAAAACCCTGCCTGTACTTCTGGTAGTTCTCGGTCCACATACTGCTGGAGCCCAGCTTGTAGGATTTTGGGCATAACTTTGCTAGCATGTGAAATGAGAGCAATGGTGCGGTAGTTTGAACGTTCTTTGGCATGGCCCTTCTTTGGGATGGGAATGTAAACTGACCTTTTCCAATCCTGTGGCCACTGCTGAGTTTTCCAAGTTTGCTGGCATATTGAGTGTAGCACTTTACCTGCATCATCTTTTAAGATTTTGTATAGCTCAGCTGAAATACTGTTGCCTCCACTAGCTTTGTTGTTGCTCAGACTTCCTAAGACCCACTTGACTTCACATTCCAGGATGTCTGGCTCGAGGTCAGCGACCACCCCTTTGTGGTTATCAGGGATGTTAAGCTCTTTCTTGAATAGCTCTTCTGTGTAATCTTGCCACCTCTTCTTAATCTCTTCTGCCTCTGTTAGGTCCCTGCCATTCTTGTCCTTTATTGTGCCCATCTTTGCATGACACGTTCCCTTCATGTCCCCAATTTTCTTGAAGAGATCTTTCCAATTCTATTGTTTTCTTCCATTTCTTTACACCGTTCATTTAAGAAGGCATACACGATGCGTTCCCTCCCATGAAGCCAGTGAAATACATTTAAACTTGAAGTGAAAGGAAGCATCGGAGATATTTCAGGTTTCCCCAAAATGTGAATTGTTTTTCCAAAGGAAACGGGGGAAAAACTCCCATTATTTCCTCCCATCGCTTCTAAGTTTCCAGGAACTTTACGTGTCTATGCCGGCTGGCTCCCTGTAATGGTTCTGTTCCTCCACCAGATGTCACTGCCTTCCCCCCAGCTCTGCATCCACCCCTTTTAGGCATGTTCCGGGTAACCCCCTCCGCCTTTCCATGTACCCACCCCGCATCTCTCCCTGCCTCCTTATCTATTTAAAACCCGCTAGGCGCCTGAGATCCCTTTTCGGGTCTCTCCCTGTCTCTGCAGCCCTCCCTGGATCTTTCCTCCAGCCCTTCGACATGGCCTCCTCTGCGACCTCTTGCCCAATCTTTCTGGAAGGAGAGGACTGCATGCCTTCCTGGGGAGAGGCGGCCGCCCGCTACGATTCCACAGACACCCACCTGGAGATCCTGGGGAAACCTGTGATGGAGCGCTGGGAGACCCCCTACATGCATTCTCTCGCCACCGTGGCTGCCTCCAAAGGTACCCTCATCGTCACAGGCTGGCATGAAAGCTGTTCCCTGCAGCGTACCTTTTAGGGGTGGTGTACCGCAGCCACCCAGAAAGCAAGGGGTGTTTCTCTTTTCAGCAAAGGTGGCTGATAATGCCGGTAACCGTACAACATTTTTTCCGTCCAAACACACATAAGATTGTGCCTAGTCCAATGCTGCGGCGTTTCCAAATCCAGTTTAAAGGGCTGGTTTTAACCTGAATAATTCATTTGTTTGTTTATGAGGGTATTTCTATACCATCCATTAAGCTTCATCTCTGGATGGCTTACAATAATGGATCAATAATTGATTTGGGGACTGCCTTTTCTTCTCCCTCATGCTGATCTTGAATGAATAGGGTTGTTCTCGTGGATTTTTACTCTGTCCACTTTGTGTGGTCTCTGATCTTGTTCTCTAATCTTGCACACTTCCCTGAGAGGGTTCCACTCTTTAAGGCAAGCTAAAGTGTTTTTAAATTAAAAAAAGAAAAGAAAAGAACCCAGCGGTGGGACCACCGAAGTCGGCAGTGAGTTTGCCACTCCATTTCCCACCTGCGTGTCCAAAAACACGTCACACAACCTCACCCTGCAGAGGGCAAAGTTGGGGACCTCAATGCTGTATCGGTTGCATTGCAGCCAAGAATAGCCGAGAGCTCGGCAGTCTCTCTCCCTTTTTAAAAGCTTGCAGGATTGCCTGGTATGGGGGTGGGGGGCTTTTCCGAACAGCTGCAGGTTCAGCATGCAGTATAACTCTTTCCCCCGTACCAGTCTTCTGTTGCCAGCACCCTCCACACATGCAAATAGGGCTGACTTCTTGGGAGAAGCCCTGGGGTTTTGCAAAAACAGAAAAAGAACGCCAGGTGGGCAACGGAAAGGGTGGTGGGAAGATAACCCCGGGGTGACTGCAGAATCTGCAATTTGTGAGTGGAAGACACAGGAAAGTATAGGTTGGTGATTGAGTACAGGCAAAACTAGAGCACCAAATTGTTTATGATACCAGCAATGAAAGGTCTCCCCTCAGCCCAGCCTTTTTTTTTTTTTTTTTTTTGGAACCATGAGGACTAGAATCTAGCTCTATATTGGCACAGAATATACAACTGCTGCTGTGCCTTTAAGCCGAGGCTTGCAGTGCACTTAAACAATGGAAAAAGTGCTACTGCGAGGCCTTACCCTAATGGCTGTCACTTTGAATGGCTTGAAGATGGGGATAAGACAAATTAAGTGGCTACTAGTCCTCATGGTTACTTCCTGCCTCTAGTTTAGGAGGCACGAGTCGAGTCTACCTTGGAACACCTGAATATGCTTCTCCTCCATGTGGGCTTCCTGCAGAAATCTTTCCGGCAGCCTTTGTATAAACCAAATGCTCGGTTTGGGCCTGCAGAGCTGTTGCGGGTGGGGGGGGGGGGGGGTCCACATCCTCTGTCAGCCTGCAGCTAATGAGTCTCTTTGTCACATGCCCAGGGGGCCGCGTGCTGGAGGTGGGCTTTGGCATGGCCATTGCGGCCACCAAAATCGAGGAGTTTGACATTGAGGAGCACTGGATCATCGAGTGCAATGAGGGGGTGTTCCAGCGGCTTTTGAAGTGGGCCAAGACGCAGCCACACAAGGTGAAAAAGTCTGGCATGGGGCGACCCACGGGGGACAGTGAGGGGTGGAATTGCTCCTGGGCTGAGCTTGGTCCACCTGTCTGTCCGTCCTTGCATGGCTGTACCACCTTTCTCAAGCCAGTTTTGCAAAATGGTCAAAAAAACAGAAACCACAACCCCATAAAAAGCATGGGAAAGCACCCCAAGATACCCTTCCTTCCTTCCTTCCTTCCTTCCTTCCTTCCTTCCTTCCTTCCTTCCTTCCTTCCTTTCTTTCTTTCTTTCTTTCTTTCTTTCTTTCTTTCCTGCCTTCCTGCCTCCCTCTCCCTCTCCCTCTCCCTCTCCTTCCCTCCTTCCCTCCTTCCTTCCTTCCTTCCTTCCTTCCTTCCTTCCTTCCTTCCTTCCTTTTTATTTAAAATATGCAAAATGTCCCATCCTATATGCAAAGTGTCTCAGGGCGGCTTGCAGAAATCAAAACAAGCAATTCATAATCAAAACAACCATTAAAAGTGATTAAGAATATACATAAAACCAACAGTAACATATCACCAATGAAAACAAAATCAAAACACAGTCAAGATCAAAAACAAAAACAAATCAAAATGCGAATGTAGATAGTTAAAACCAGGTTAAAAATTCCTAATTCTTAAAATGATGGTCAAATCAAAAGGTTTTCACCTGGCGCCAAAAGGAATATAAAGTCGGCACCAGGCGACCCTCTCTGGGGAGCGCATTCCACAGTCTGGGGGCCACCACAGAGAAGGCCCTCCGTGCGGATACCCTCCGTGCCTGCCTCAAAGAGGGTTCCCGGAGCAGGGCCTCTCCCGCAGATCTTAAGGGGCGCAAGGCCTCATAGGGAAGGAGACATTCCTCCATGTATCCTGGTCCCAAGTCCACGAAAAGCAGGACAACAATTTAGGTGCTTCGGAGGCTGCTGAGAGCGAGGCAAGAGTCCTGCTTCCTTCAGGCCCGTGTTCAGCCTGCGGTCTGATGTGTTGCCTCCCCGCCTGAGATCCCATCTCCCGCAGATCTGCAGCTCTCAACCTGATTGTTAAAGTGGCTGCAGTGCAGGAGCGCTTAATCTCCATTTCAACTTCTTTTTGAAAACAGGAGCTCACTCTGGCGGGGGGGGGGGGGTGTTCTTGCGCAAGAGCTGTCCTTTTGCCCCCGCTCTCCAGGGTGGGTTAAACAACAACCAAGCACAACTGCAGAAATGGCTCGGGACCTTCTCCGGTCACCCACCGGCATGCTCCCACGCTGCTGTGGCACGGCTGGGACTTGGGAGACCCGGGTTTGAGTCCCCACCTGCCCTCGAAGCTCACTGAGGGACTCTGGGCCAGCCTCTGATTCTTGGCCTAGCCTACCTTGCAGGGGTGTTATTGTGAGGCTGAAAATGCGGGGGCGGGGAGGATCCTGAACTCCATGCTGGACTCCTTGGAGGAAAGGGGGGGGAGATCCATGACCCTCAGTAAATCACTCACACACATCCCCTCCCTCTGCTCTGCTTTCTCCTAAAAGGTCGTCCCATTGAAGGGGCTCTGGGAGGATGTCGTCCCGACGCTGCCCAGTGGGCATTTCAGTGGTAGGTGAACTGCTTGCCTTTGGCCAGCCGGAACATGGTGCGGGCCGGTGACAATGACAGGGCTGAGGAACCTTTGGCCCGCGGGCCAAGCCTGGCTGGGAGGGGCCAAGGGATGGAGCCAGGAACGGAACTGGGAGAGGGGGCGTGATCTTCACGGGAACCCAGGAGAGCTAGCTAAGTGCCCACAGGCCTGTAGCTCCACACCCTGCCATAAAGAAAACCAGCTCATTCGCTTCCAACATCCAGTCCTTGTGGCAAGAACTCTGCACGTGAAGTGGCCGCAGGAGGCTCCCTCGAGGGCCAGTTTTCGTGAGTTGACCTGCGCTTTGGCAGCCTCACCTGTCACGCTCTGCCCAGAAATGCCAAGTCCCCATGTTACCTTTCGGAGAAATAGTCACTCCAGTCCCAAGGTCAGGGCTGTAGGGTTTGTGTGTCCAGAGTTCGAGTCAAGCAGGCCGTCCAAACTAATTTCCAGGAAGCCAGCCAAAAGGGCAGAATCATTTAAGAGGCCAAACAGGTGAAGAGGCATGCAGAGCTGGTTGGAATATGCTGAATGCCAGCACTCCTGTTGCTCTCGTTACCTTCTGGATGCAGAGCAGCTCACCAGGGGCATCGGGCGGTAAAATTTGGCTCTTCCCCGCAGGAATCCTCTACGACACCTACCCACTCTCGGCAGACGTGTGGCACACACACCAGTTCGGCTTCATCAAGGTGAGACGCGGCTGCGACGCAAGCCGCGCCCCCTCCCATTCCTCGAACCGGAAGGGACCCCTGGTGTCTGCAAGCTGTGCTGGGCCGCGGCTCCCATCGTCCCCACGCAGCCAGGGCGCTGCACTCTGGGCAGCACGCACCGGGGTCTCCTGCTCTGGCAGAGCTGGGTTTTGCGGGGCCTGTGTGTGCACGTCCCAGCAGCAGGTCCCGGGACCGAGTCCAGGCACAGCCGGGCTGTTCCCCACCTCCTCCCACACCTTTCCCGCTCGTGCCACCACAGGGTCATGCACATCGCCTCCTGAAGCCAGGTGGAGTGCTCACCTACTGCAACTTGACGTCCTGGGGCGAGCTGCTGCGGAGCAAATACTCCGACATCGAGAGGATGTTCCAGGTGAGGCCGGGTGGAGGCAGGGGGCCCTGCCAGTTCCCCCTGGGTGCTGACAGATGAGGCCCAGAAGGCAACGGCTTGGGTGCAGCAAACGAGCCGGCTTGTCCACGTGTGGCCGTTCTGGGGGACGAATCCAGGCCACCGGTGCAGGCTGGTTGGCGGGCGCTGTTGCTCCAGATCAGAGAACCCATCGCTCTGCCAACGTCGGACCACATCCCCACCCACGCCGAGCCCCCGAAGGGGCCGGGGCCGGGGGGTGTGCTCCAAGGCTGCAGACCCAGGGCCTGAGCAGCCTCCGGGGGTCCCCGTCCACCGCAGGGCACGCTGGCTCTTCTCGCCCCACTGCCCACCACCTGCGCTTGCGACCCCGGTGGCGAGAGGTGTGCTGACTTGCCCCTGCTTCGGCTTCGCTTCCCCTGCAGGAGACGCAGGTTCCGCACCTGGTGGAAGCCGGCTTTGAGAAGCAGAACATCCGTACCTCCGTCATGGACTTGGTCCCGCCGCCCGACTGCCGATACTATTCCTTCCCGAAGATGATCACGCCGACACTCATCAAGTAACCGGCAGCCTCCGTCCCCAGAGCTGAAGGAAGCCCCGTGCTGGCCCGAAAAGCCCCCCACCCTGCAAATGGGCTTGGCAGAACGGGAGTGAGGGTCGTGTGGGGAGGGAGGGAGCTCTCTCTCCGGCATTGGAGATGGGGAAGCTGAGCACTGAGCGGCGACCTGGGGGAAGGACAGAGCTGCAGTTGATTGAAGAATGTTTCTTGTACCACTTGCTGCAGTGGGTCTTTGTGTGTGTCTCTGCTGGCTGGAATATGGCTACGCCTCGTCATTTGGGCCCCCCTGCCTTCCGAGGGCGGAGCCCACCAGTGCGGCCTGCGTCCCCCACACATAGCCTTCTCTGAGATGGCCCCCTCCAGACTGTGCTGCTACAGCCGTGCTTTGCCCTGCGGGGTTTCAGAACAAGGATTCCCCCCGCCTCCCCTGGGGACTGAACCTTCCGCATATCAAGCAGGAGCTCTACCGCTGTGGGCATTCCCCAAGGAAGATTCCAGTCCTCGGGGTCCTGGAGAAACATTGGCTGGAGGCAGGAATGCAGGAGGGCTGCCTTGGGAGGGCTCCTGGTGTGCTCCACTCGCCGCTTGGCAGCAGCTCTTTCCCAGCTGACCTGTCTTTCCCCTAAAGAGAATCCAGTCTTTACAATTTTAGAAAGGCGGGTCCGTTTTAGCAGGGAGACCCAACGCTGCCTCATACTGAGTCTGTGCACCTTGGCATTGTCAATGGTGGAGTCAGTGGCTTGTGGCCTGCCAAATGTTCGGGCTTGCAACTCCCATCACTCCACTCCATTGGCTGAGGAGGATGGGAGCTGTGATCCTCCACCCATTATGGTCGAGCAAGTTGCCCAGCCCGGTTCATTCCTTCCTTCCCACAGTCTGCCTACCCCTTGGAACCGAGTCCAGCCAACGCGCCTCCTTTAGAGTCAGTGACACGCGGCAAGAAACGAAACGGCCTCTGTCAAGACGGCACTCAGTTTATTGAAGACAGCGCTGCAACTGAGACACAGAATATACACAAGCGAGAAACAAAGCTCACACTCCCCTGATCCGTGGCCGAACTGGCTCTCTGCACAGGCCAGGGGGCGTTTTGTGGGCCCCCAAAGGAACCTGGGCAAGTATAGCCACAGACGTCACCAGGTTCCTCTCTTCCTCGTGTCAGGGGCTAGGGTTAGGGTAGTACACAGATGTATCCCCCTACCTGGGAGATGGGGCCGGGACACCGAAGCTGCTTCAGGAAACAGTTTTGGCTCCCACCACCAAAAGCAGGTCTTATCTAAGGAAGACACTCGGGGAAAGCAGATTCAGGGCAACGCTCTCAGCTCTTCCTAAGAAGCTGAGGGCCATGCAGTCCTGAACCAGCTGCAAAAGGCTACCCTGGCCGTTGGACACTTCCTACAGACACCCCCCCCCCGCCATGTTTAGCCCATGCACCACAGCCTCTCTGCCTTCCTTTGGCCAATCAAGGCCTTCTAAGTTAAACAAAAAGGCAGTGGGTCGAGCCAGTTATGTATACATTCTCTCTCTCTCTCTTGGCAACTTTACTGGGAAAGCGTGTGCGCAAAATACAGACAGGCAGGGCTGCCGATTTTCCAGCCGGCGGCTTATTTCTGAAACGGACGGCACTATTTCCGATACCAGATTTGTAGCCGCTTCTCCCGTCTGATCTTCCTCTGGAGTTGCAAAATTCCATACAGGAGCGCCTCGGCGGTGGGAGGACAACCTGCGAGGACAGGGAAGTGATGCCAGGACAGTGATGGATCTGGGGCTCTAGTCCTCATGGGCCATCTGGGGCCTGTCACTCACATTCAGCCTGGCCTACCTTGCAGGGTTATGGGGGGGGGGACAATGTAAGCTGCCCTGCAGACTGGTCACACTTCCCAACTGCCTTGGGCTTGAATGAACAAGCTCCCCTTTAGCACCTTTCAGAGCATGTGCTCTCTTCACTTTCCACTTAAATTGATCCCGACCACCACCACTAGGGTCCATCCAGAAGTTTGGGGTCCCGACCCCCACTGCCCCCGAGCAGAGGCAGAGGGAGCCGCAGCCTGAGGCTCGAGACATCTGGCATCTTCCTGGTTTGGCTCACCTGGCACATAGATGTCCACCGGCACAATGCGATCGCAGCCCCGCACCACAGAATAAGAATAGTGGTAATAGCCACCCCCGTTAGCGCAGCTGCAAAAAAGGAGAGGAGGGGAACATTCAGGGTCCTGTTGAAGCTCCCCCCTCGCAAGTAGAAAACACCCCATTCCGTTCCCGACACACGGTTACTCGACCGAAGAGCAGCAGCAGCGGAACGGAAACGCCACTGCGGCGCAGGGTATGGCCACCCCCGTCGATCAAGGCGGGGTAGAAATTGAGGCATGAGCTGGCTGTAAGCGACATGAATCTGAGTGGGGGGGGAGCAGGAGATGAGAAGCCCCCTGAAGGGGATCGGCTGTTAGAATCTCTCCCAAGTTGCAAGTTGTGGGGATGGACTGAGAAAGCCCTTAGGAATTAGTTTCTGGGCATTTGTGTCAGGGTTTCCACATCAAATAACCTATGGAGGAATCGACCTGTAGCAGATGGCTCTACCAGGAGAATGGTGGGGTTGTTAAGGTTCAACAGGTAGAGTAGAGCATTGTTCCAAGGTTCAAAAGCCAGGATAGCTTTTCGGAGTCATAGGACAGTTTTATGGCCTTCCCCATCTTCGGAAGAGGACAGATCATTTGCGCTGGAGCTGCTTTCCCCTAGTATATTCCTTAGAGAAGAGCTGCTTCTGTGGTAAGAACCAAAAGTGTTTCCTTTACTGAAGCAGCTCCAGCGCTCCCACCCCCCAGGGAGTGGGGGCTGCAGCCTGTGCGTATTGCTGGTCTCTGGAAAAAGTGGGGAGGGGCGTTTTGTAAGAGGTGCCGTCTTTCCTCCTGGCCTTGGGAGAGGAACCGACGCGTTACTTCGAGAGCACCCCCAATCTCCGGCCTCCGCAGGGAAGCGACATGGCCTCAGAGAAGCGTACGCTTTCGTTCGCTTAGCTGCATTCTGAATCTCACCACTGCTTTCAATCAGCTGCAGATCATCTCATGAAGAGGGGCTTGTTTCTGACTGTGTATCCTCAGATCTGAAATGGCCGGAGCGACGTGCCATGAAAACTTTCCTGGAAAGCCAGCACCGTGGGGGAACACAACTATTTTGGCATTAAACCGCTCCTTGGCCATTGTTCGAACGCAACCCCCACGTAAACAAAGGGGCACTGAAAAGCGAGGCGGGATTACGTCAACGGCTGTGCAAACAGAAGGGGTGGCGAAGCAGCACAGGGAAAAGTCACAGCGGCAAAACACGGAGAGAAGTCCTTACCTCCCCATGGACACCACGTAACGTGGCTCAGGCATCTGGTCATAGACCTGCCAAGGCAGAAAACACGTCAGCCCACCTCCAGCGCCCTGCAGCGCCCACCCTGGCTGGGTGGGGCACCCAGGGAGTCGCAGCTCCAGGGGACCAGTTCCGAGCCAAGGAGCCGAGCCAACGCCTCTCAGCCTAACCTGCCAGGAGGCTGTGAAGGCGAGGACGAAGCTTTCGCCAAACCGCAACGCAGCCCCTCATGCTGCAGAGAGAGCTGGTGCTCTTGGCTGCTGGCCTGGGAGCGGGCAGACGGGGGCTTTGGTCCTGCTCCACCTTGAACTGCACTGGGTGTCACTCACCCATACTCACCTTCCCCTACCTCACGGGTGTTCTGAGGATAAAAGGGAGAGGAGGGGGCCGTGTGAGCCACCTTGGCCTCCTTGCAGGAAATATACAGGTGGCATGAGGAGTCACCCACGGGTGCGGGGAAGCGTCCCTTAAAAAGGGTGGGCCTCTCACCTGCTCAATCAAGGTGCTCCCCTGGCAACCCCGTTTCATCTGCACAGTGCCTCGTGGGGCCGCATCACAGCAGCAGGTGAGGCCAAAGGGAACAGGTGTGGGGCAAATGTGCCCAGGATGACGGGCTAAAGCGATTCCGCCAATGGCTCAGGTGTGGGGAGGAAGGGCAGAAAAGCCAGGAAGTCGCTCATGGGTCTGGGGAAAAGGGCTGCGGCTACCTGGGGAATCTGCAGAGGGCCAGGACGAGACCCGGGGCAGACCAGAATGACCTTGGCTGAGCACAGCCCTACCTTCCGGAGGGCAGGAGCCATCTTGTTGGTCAAGGTTCCGGCCACAATCATGACGTCGGCCTGTCGGGGGCTGGCTCGGAAGACCACCCCGAAGCGGTCCATGTCGTACCGGGGCGCAGCCATGTGCATCATCTCCACGGCGCAGCAAGCCAGGCCGAAGGTCATGGGCCACAGGGAGCTCTGTGTGTGCGGGAGGGAACAACATGGGGGGTCAGGACACACTGGGCTTCCCCCCCTGCCAGTGACACCCACATCCCATCTCGGAATGCCATGGTACCCCTCCCGAGGTTTAGCAAGGCCTTAAAAACAAAAGTGCTGCAGTGGGAAAAGCAGAAAAGAAATTCATAAATGGATGGAACACGGGAATAGCCATTGCTGGCTTTGTTGAGAGATCGAAGCCCCAGCATTCTGTCTCCAACGCAGGACAGCCAGATCTTGCCTTCCTCCTCTCTAAGAAACTCAGAAGCAGCACCTGATGGAGGAAGCTGTTTCCCTCCCCACAGCACTGTCAAAGCCCCACCACACACTGGCAGCATCTTTACAAGCATTCTAACTTGTAAGAGGACTAGCATCTTGACAACAGGATGTCCAAAATAAGTCCCACTTTTATGTGGGAAAAGTCAACGGCTGGTTTGGCTGGGGAGAGCCTCACGTGTGAGGCCAGGGGCCCAAAGGAAGTGAAAAGGCAGGAAGCCCAGAAACCCAAATTTAAAGCTGCAGCGTGGAATCCTTTGTGGACAGAACGCAAAAGATCCTCCCAGTGAACTCCTGGCTGGAGGGAGCTGCGGGATCCTTCCCTCTCTGGAGAGGAGGAAAAAGCAAGGCACGAGCCGACCCTTTCGAGGGGACCCCCTGCTCACCCGGCGGGCCCAGTTGATCAGGTCATCCAGCTTGGTGATCACGTACTCCCCGCGGCTGGTGGGCACATAGGACTGCTTCTGAACGATCGCACGGCTCGTCTGCTGGACCGGCGCCGGACTACTGCGAAATCAAGGGTGTCAGAAGAGCTGAGCCCCTGGGAAACCGTCCAGGATCAGCACCCCATCCTGCCCCACTCCAGCTCCAAAAGGAAACCAGTCCCCTCAGGTGGCCAGCCAAGGGCCCTTGGGAAGCTTGCAGGTGGGTTGAAAAGGGGAATAGTGATGCTCGGCCTGGGAACAGAAAGCACAGCAGTCCCGCTCCGAGGGACGAGGTCAGGTTGTTACTCTGCAGCGGTCCTCCCCTTGCCCAGACATGACTCCGCGAGCCAAATGTGGCCCAGCTGGGGATACTCAGGAGCCCTTCCCTTTTCTGCAGCTCAGCCCCACTAGATCAACACCCAAACCCTGCTTTCAACAGTCCAGTGCCCTCTAGATCTTTTGGATGGCAACTCCCATCAGCCCCGGCCCCAGAGCTTCATTCCCCTCAGTGTCCCAGGAGTCAGAAATACCTCTCGGTGCTGTCTGTTGCAGGTGTCTGGTGCAGCGACCGACTGGGAGCAGCCGATGTTGCAACCGGTCTGTCCAGTGGGAAAAACAGACGAGCGTTAGCATCTTTGGAAGTCCTGTGCGGCAGTTCTGGAACTGGGTTAACAGGGGCCCCTGCAGCAAATGCGGCAGCCCCGTTCCCAGCCTGCAGCTGGGTTTTCTGGCCAAGCTGGGGAGAAGGCCTTGCCACACTCTGGGGTCTGCAGTGTAGGCCGGACGCACCTTGACGAGCCCTGTGCTCTCCAGAGGTCTGGCCCCAGAACTCCCTTCATTCCCCTCTGGCAATGGTGAGGGTTGCAGGCCAACACATCTGGGAGCCCCAGGCTGGGGAGGGCACCCACTGCTCCCCAGGCCTTGGGGGTGGGGTACAAAGGAAGCAAACAGGGCACCCACTGCTCCCCAGGCCTTGGGGGTGGGGTACAAAAGGCCCTCCAGTTGCATTCCCCCATCTCTGTTTAAAAAGCTGCTCGTTGCCTTCCAAAAATAAAATAAAATTGAATCGATAGTCTAAAAGGAGGAATAGGAGGCCATCCAAACAGACTATTGGTCTGCTGTTTTTTAAAAACAATTACAGGCTAGTAATTTTTGTGGGCTTTTTTGTAATAGAGAACTGAGCCTTGGCAGGTGTTCCAAAGCGATGGTGGACACCCCATGCCTCCAAAAGTTCTGGACCACAACTCTCATCACCCTGCTGGCTAGGGTTTATGGGGGTTGTAGTCCAAGCCATCAGGATTTTCTAGGAAACACGCATCCCTGCCTAACTGCTTCCCACAGGGATGGATTATTATTATTTATTTAAAGTTTTTGTATGCCGTCCCCTTGCTATATAGCCTCGGGACGGCTCACATAAATAAACAAACATAATACAAATACAGTTAAAACTCAGAAACATCCTGGCTGCACAATTAAAATCTATAAATATTAAACGTTGTTAAAATATTGCTTGAATAAAAAGGTCTTAGCCCGGCACCGAAAAACACAGATAAGATCCAGGTTTATTCACAGATAAGATCCAGGTTTATCCACAGATAAGATCCAGGTTTACTTCTAGTTCTATTTACCCCATCGCTTATGCCCACCACCCTTTGCATTTTACATTTAACTTTGCCAAAAAGGTTCAGCATTTATTGTCAGAAACCTATAGAAATAACAGGGGCACACTTACCTCCAAAGGAGCCAGCCCCGTGGGACCACACGAGAAACTGAAAAGAGACCACAGAATTGCATCAAGAAAACAAGGCAAGGCAGCTGAGGAAATATTTAATTCTACGCTTTTCTACAGAAAACTTCCATGTTTTAAGTTTATTTGTAGCACCGAACAGATCCCAACAGCCATTACAGTATTAGGCAAGCATGACAGGCTCAGAGTTGACAGTGTTTGCCCCTTTGATTAGCAATGCATCGGTTTTCATTACCTCTGTCACTTGCTGCTTAAATGTAAACAACGCGAGAGAAGAGCATGCTATACTTAGTAATTTTTTACAAGCATTCAAAATCATGTTTACAACTTGAAATGACTTTGCACGTGCAGCCATGTTTTCCTCTGATTTTCAGGTAGCAAAAACCAACGGGGGATACCTTTTTTGTTTCTAGCGTAACTGCTTACTCAACCCGAGTACAACGAGTATGCTAGCACCCAAAAGCTTTCCCATGCAAGCGCACGACCATTTCCCACAGGGGTCTCTGGGAAATATGGCAGCGCGGGGTTTTGCAGACGACCCATGCCGCTAGTCCGCATGAAGGGCGCCGGCCTCCTCTGGGGCGCGCGCGGCCCGTTCCGTGGGAAGCGGCTGGCCCCTCTCCCCGCCGGGGCCCCGTCCCTCGAGGACCTTCGGGGGCAGAGCCGGAAGCAGCGAACGCGGGGGCGCGGCCCCCCCGCCCCTCGAGGCCCCCCGCCCCGCGAGGCCCCCCGCCCGCCCCTCGAGGACCCTCCGGCCCGCGAGGACCCCCGCCCGCCCCGCGAGGCCCCCGCCCGCTCACCTGCCGCGGCGGCCATCTTCCTCTTCCTCCCGTCCCCCTCCCCCTCCTCCTCCCCCCCCCCCCGCAGCCCTTCAAGCCACCTCTGGCTCGGCCGGCGCGCCGTCAAAGCGCTCCGGGTGCCGCCGCCGCCGCGAAACGCGCGTTCCGGCCCGCGAGGGTTCCGGCGGCGCTGCCCCCTGGCGGCCGCCGAGGCCGAGGCCGAGGCGCCGCCCCTCGCCGCGCGGGAGCGAGCGTGCCTCTGAGCACACGCAGAGCGCCGGCTGGGTCTCCCAGGGGGTCTCCCAGGGGGTCTCCCAGGGGGCGCCCCCTCCGTCCCACGCAGCGCTCTGGGACTCGCTCCTGAGTCAACGGGAAGCCCCCGCCCGCCGCCCGTTGCGCCCCGGGCAGCAAGACGGCGGGGGCTGCCCTTCCTCTGCGCTCCGCGCTGCCCGCCCGCGCAAAAGAGCCAGAAGCGGTGCTGCGGCACGTGGCTCGCCCACCGCCACGCATGGCGGGGGCGGGCACGGAGGGGCGCTTGCACGAGCAAAAGGCCCGGCCGCGCGTCCCCGGGTGGGCTCGAACCACCAGCCTCTCGGTTAACAGCCGAACGCGCCAGCCGATTGCGCCACAGAGACCCGCTGCTGCCCTGCGGCCACCGCGCCGAGAACCGCGCGCCCGGCAGGGTTGGCCCGGCAGGGAGATGCTCGGCACGGGTGGGCAGCGCCCCCTGCAGGGCGGCCCCGCGCGTTGCACATGCTCCGCATTAAGCCTTGACCCAACCATGGAGCGCGCCGGGACTGGCTTGTTATCGTTGACGGACTCCATTTGCTAATATTCCATAGTGGTAAGTTAGTCACAATGTTCCGAACTAATAATTATTAACCCATAGCAGGAGAAAAAATGCAAGAGAATTCCAACATAATACATATCGCTGGAGTTCTTAAAGTTATATTCCAGGATTATTTTTAGCTCCTTCATGGATCACTCACTGCCATGTTGTGGCGAAGGGGCTTGTGTAGCACAATGAAGCGATGAGCTAATTCGTGCAGGGGCACCCAAGGCGGACAGGTCACAGCAGAGAGCTCTGACAAAACGTGATCCACTGGAGAAGGAAATGGCTGCCCACTCCAGTCCCCTTGCCATGAAAACCCCACAGACAGTATCAACAGGCAAAGAGATATGAGGCCGGAAGATGAGCCCCTCAGGTTGGAAGGTGTCCGATGTGCTCCTGGGGAAGAGCAGAGGGCTAGTACTAGTAGCGCCAGGAAGAGTGAAGCGACTGGGTCAGAGCCGAAAGGACACTCAGCTCTGGATGCGTCTGCTGGTGAAAGGAGAATCCGATGCTGGAAAGATCTATACTCCATAGGACCCTGGAATGCAAGATCCATGAATCAAGGCAAGCTGGACGTGGTCAAGCAAGAGATGACAAGACTGAACATCGACATCTTGGGAATCAGCGAACTAAAATGGACAGGAATGGGTGGATTTAATTCAGGTGACCATCAGGTATCCTACTGGGGCAAGAATCCCTCAGAAGAAATGGAGTAGCCTTCACAGTCAATAAATGAGTAGGAAAAGCAGTACTGGGATACAATCTCCATCCAAATGACAGAATGATCTCAGTTTGAATCCAAGGCAAACCATTCAGCATCCCAGGAGTCCCAGTCTGTGCCCCAACCACTGATGCTATTGGGAAAATTCAGATAAATCCTGGTAGGAAAAGGTTGCTTATATGTGCCTTGGTGTTATAAAATCAAACCTACACCCCTTTCTCATAAAGCAGCAGAATTCCAAGCCAGGTTATTATTTAGCATTGCTGTTCCTTTAAGAAGACAGGATGATTAGCTGGACTGAGCTGCTGCTGGAGGCTGATACTATCAGTGTGGCAACACTGGTGTTCCCATCTGCTGCAGAAAAGATACTCATTTGTTTCTGAATGGACCCATTTCGTCATCGCCTTCCACTGAGGCAGTGTAATTGCCAAACCAATTTTCCTGAATGGTTCCTCAATCAGACATGTTTGCATGTTTAAGCAGACAATCCAGCCTGTCAGGAATTCACTGAATTGACTTGTGGATAAGGCTCAGTCAGGGAACATTTCTATTGTCACAAGCTTTTCAGATTGTTTACAGTGGGGGTCCTCAAAATTTTTCAACGGGGCCAGTTGAAAGGCGGTGGGGGCAGGGGCGGGCACGCTTGGGGGGACAGACTGGTGTGATCATGGGCACATGCGTGGCAAGGCAGGCCAGAAAAATGGACATGGCGGGCCAGATTCAGCCCGTGGGCCGAGTTTGAGGACCTGTGGTTGAGAGTATTGTTTGTGTATGAAGACATCAAGGTGCTGTTATGTTAACATTGTCTAGAAACCTAATACTCTGCATGTGACCAGCAGGTTATAAAAATGTCTAGGTTATGATTTTGTAGTTGGCAGTGGGGACCACCGCCCGGGAACATGCCTTCATAAGTAACTGCAGGGGTCCTGGGTGATCTTTCAATAAACTGCTGAGATTCAAGGCGAAGGGGGTCTTTCCTGACTGAACCCAGGTATCCTGTCTCATGGCTGCTATCAAGGCACCTGATAAGGCTGAAGTTGACTGGTCCTAAGATGAGCTACAAGGAGTTATTTCTAGAAAATGATGTCCTTGTCTTCATTGGGGTTTGGAATGCTAAAGTAGGAAGCCAAAAGATAACTGGAAGAACAGGCAAGTTTGGCCTTGGAGTACAAATTGAAGCGGGGCACAGGCTGGGACACGCTGGTCATAGCAAACACTCTTTTCCAGCAACATAAGAGATGACTCTACACATGGACATCACCAGACGGTCAACATGGAAATCAGATTTACTACATGCTCTGCAGCCAAAGATAGAGAAGCTCTCTATAGTCAGTAAAAACAACACCAGGAGCTGACTGTGGCTCAGATCATGAGCTTCTTCTTGCAAAATTTAGGCTTAAATGGAAGAAAGTAGGGAAAAGCACTAGACCACTCAGGTATGACCTAAATCATATCCCTGCTGAATATACAGCAGAGGTGACAAATAGATTTAAGGAGTTAGATCTGATAGACAGAGTGCTTGAGGAACTGCTGCTCCCCATATCCAGAATGTTTTCCCCAAGAAGATTCTACTGGCGCTTAATATTCTTTTCATTGCCAGATGAAGTCCTTCCTTAAAAAAAAAATATTTTAATAGTTAATGTCACTCGGCCTCTGTTTTGTATTTTTGTCCATATCTTATTGACCCTGTATTTTAATAGGTTGCAGTTGGTTTTTTTTGTGTTTTATCTTGTGACCGTGGCACAACTGAGCAGCATGCAAATGTTTAAATAAAGAACGAACTATGGACCGAGGTTTGCAGCATTGGGCAGGAGCTAGCTAGAGGAGACGGTAAACCATCCCAAAGAAAAAGCAATGGAACATTGTACATGAGGTAGCAAACCATCCAAAAAAAATAAGGGAAGGAAAGGAAAAGAAAGGAAAGGAAGCCTAGAGAGCAAAATGGCTTTCTGAGGAAGCTTTACAAATAGCTGGGGAAAGAAGCAAAAAAAGTGGAGAGAAAGAGAAAATGCACCCAATTGAATGCAGAATTCCAGAGAAAAGCTAGAAGAGAAAAGAATGCCTTCTTAAGTGAACAGTGCAAAGAAACAGAGGAAAACAATGGAATAGGAAAGACTAGAGATCTCTTCAAGGAAATGGGAGATATTGAGGGAACTTTTCATCCATAGATGGGCATGATAAAGGACAGAAATGACAGATGTGATTAAGAAGAGTTGGCAAGATTACACAGAAGAACTATAAAAGAAAAATTGTAATGTCCTTGATAACCAGATGGTGTTTGTGGCTGACCTCGAGCCAGACATCCTGGAATGTGAAGTCAAATGGGCCTTAGGAAGTTTGAGCAACAACAAAGCTGGTGGAGGAGAGGGTATTCCAGCAGAGCTATTCAAAATCCTAAAAGATGATGCAGTTAAAGTGCTACACTCAATATGCCAGCAAATTTGGAAAACTCAGCAGTTTACATTCCCAATCCCAAAGAAGGACAATGCCAAAGAATGTTCAAACTACTGTACAATTGCGCTCATTTCACATGCTAGCCAAATTATGCTCAAAATCCTACAAGCTAGGCTCCAGCAGTATGTGGACCGAGAACTACCAGAAGTACAGGCAGGGTTTTGAAGAGGCAGAGGCATTAGAGATCAAATTGCCAACATACGCTGGATCATGGAGAAAGCCAGGGAGTTCCAGAAAAACATCTACTTCTGCTTCATTGCCTATGCTAAAGCCTTTGATTGTGTGAATCACAACATTTGTGGCAAGTTCTTAAAGAGATGGGAGTCCCAGACCATCTTATTTGTCTTTAGAGAAATTTCTATGTGGGCCAAGAAGAAACAGACCCTCTTGATGTGGTTGAAAGAGGAGAATGCAAAAGTTGGCTTGAAACCCAGCATTAAGAAAACTAAGATAATGGCATCCAGTCTTATTACTTCCTGGCAAATAGATGGGAAAGAAATGGAGGTAGTGACAGATTTTATTTTCCTTGGCTCCAAGATCACCGCAGATGGGGACCGCAGCCAAGAAATTAAAAGACGCTTGCTCCTGGGGAGGAAAGCTATGGCAAATCTAGGCAGCATACTAAACAGCAGAGACATCACCCTGCCAACAAAAGTGCGTAGAGTCAAGGCGATGGTTTTCCCAGTTGCAATGCATGGCTGTGAAAGCTGGACCATAAGGAAGGCTGAGCGCCGAAGGACTGAGGCCTTTGAATTGCGGTGCTGGAGGAAACTCTGCGAGTCCCTTGGACCGCAAGGCGATCAAACCAGTCAGTCCTAGAGGAGATCAACCCTGACTGCTCTTTAGAAGGCCAGATCCTGAAGATGAAGCTCAGATACTTTGGCTACCAAATGCCAAGGAAGGACTCCCTGGAGAAGACCCTGATGCTGGGAAGGATTGAAGGCCAAAAAGAAGGGAACGGCAGAGGATGAGGTGGCTGGATGGGGTCACAGGGGTGCTGGGTGTGAGCTTGGGTGGACTCCGGGGGATGGTGGAGGACAGGAAGGCCTGGAGGAGTGGTGTCCATGGGGTCGCGATGGGTCAGATGTAACTTTGCAACTAAACAACAGCAAATTATTCTTAAAAGCATAGTACAATGCAGTTACATTATTTTATTGGGGTTATATCCCACCTTGTTCTTTTTTAAAGAACTCAGGAGTGGCTTATAGCATTCTCCTCCTACTCTTCTCAGATCTTCTCCCCACAACAACAAGCCTGTGAGGTAGGCTGGGCTGAGAGCCTGTGACTGGCCCAAAGGCACACAGTTGGCTCCTTGGCTGAGCAGGGACTCGAACCCGGATCACCTGAGTCCCAGTTCCAGAGTCTTAACCACTGCACCACACTTGCTCTCATATAATTATAGTATTACGTAATACTTAAGTTATTCTTCTAATGATGTGACATTCTTTTCATGTATAGCAATTCTCTTCCAGCTGCCTGGTGTTACAATTACAATATGTTCTTAAATTGTAATTGCACTGTAACAATATTTATACAATGATATCCCCATAGTATTAGATTACCTAATTTGGTATCATTTGGTATCATTGATTATTAATACAGTATGGCTACTAATTGTTATCAGGAGTGCTTCTAATTCTTTTATTAGGCTGTGATAAATTTTATTTCTCCGTGCCCAGCAGCCAGGCTGTTTGGATCACAATCATCGATTTTAGACAGTTAAATAAAATACAATCAAATGTAATGTCGTTATTGCTATTAAGGTTATTCTTCTATTATATTTGTACCCCCTCCTCCAGCCACTGACAACATGTGATCCCACCTCCTCAGAGAATACACTAAAGAGACTTCAAGCGGGGGAGATCATCAGCGGGGTTGAGTAGCCCCAGGGAGTTGGACTGGATGGAACTTTAGCCTGACTCAATAGGCCTTTTTGTTCCATGAGTGAAAAATGGAACCTCCTTGGCCAAGAGCAGTGTACCTCTTAACATGACATATGGGGAGAACTGTGACTCCTGGATTCTCCAGACTTGATTCAGCAGGGCGGCTTTTCACCCCAGCAGCCATTCTGACATGCCCTGTGAGAAAAACACTTCATTCCACCAGCCCAGATGAAAGATCACCCGCTTCCTTCTCCCATCTGTTTTTCCTTTTCCGCCCTTTTCCTGTTGGAAGCCTTGCTTTGATGGATCACACAGCAGCTGCTCAGATAGCTCTTTGGCCCAAGAACAGGATAAAATACTTTAGGAGTACAAAATGTAGCAAATGAGGACCCAGCAACTCCCACGGTGCTTTGATCTCATTCTGTGACTTGTTGTTAGTCATGAAGTTGTGTCTGACCCACTGTGACCCCATGGACAACACTCCTCCAGGCCTTCCTGTCCTCCACCATCCCCTGGAGTCCAGTTCAGCTCACACCAACTGTTTCAGTGACTCCATCCAGCCACCTCATCCTCTGCCGTCCCCTTCTTCTTTTGCCATCTATTGTTCCCAGCATTAGGCTCTTCTCCAGGGAGTCCCTCCTTCTCATTAGGTGGCCAAAGTATCTGAGCTTCATCTTCAGGATCTGGCCTTTTAGAGAGCAGTCAGGGTTGATCTCCAGGACTGACCGGTTTGATCGCCTTGCGGTCCAAGGGACTCGCAGAGTCTCCTCCAGCACCACAATCCAAAGGCCTCAATCCTTCGGCACTCAGCCTTCCTTATGGTCCAGCTTTCACAGCCATGCATTGCAACTTGGAAAACCATAGCCTTGACCATACGCACTTTTGCTGGCAGGGTGGTGTCCCTGCTTTTTAGTATGCTGTTTAGATTTGCCATAGCTTTCCTCCCCAG